GGAAAGAGTCCTACGCTGCTGTAGGGATAACCTGAGGGCTCTGCTGGGAACACGACACTTTCTATTCGAAGCTGAGCTTTTGCTTGTGACCAAAGGTATAGAAATAGTGATGCGACATCTATAAATCACTGACACATCGACCAACCCCTGTGTGTGCAGCCACAAGCACCAAAAATACACCAGCTCTCCCCAGAACAGCCGTGGGGAAGCAGCTCGGGTTTTATAACCACTTTGTATGAGCGTAAAAATGCAGACAGACAAACAAGGGGGCACAGACGCAGTGACATTATAGCCCACAGAACAATCAGGCTGCATGAATCAGCTTTCCCTCCCTTTGGAGCTGCTCCTCGGCTGCCTTCCCAGCCCCTGATCTGTTTTCTGGTCTCTCTGAATGAGGCTGAGATGGAAATGGCCTGTCTGAGCAGAGCAATGCCCGCCCTGGGATTCACTTTTGGTCGGGCTATAAAACACGTAGCATGGCACCAAGACAATGAGAGAAGCTAGAACAGGGCTTTTCTAAACCCAAATGCATTCAAGGAATAATAATAATAATAATAATAATAATAATAATAATAAAAAAGAAAAAAGAAAATATATAGAAACTCAGCCCTAAATATCCTATTAATTAGCTACGTTTCACAACCCCTGAAAGGGCTGGGTTTTTTACAGGAAAGCTCCCAAGCCATCACTAACACTGTAATCCAGTGCTCCAGGATTGTGTCCAGCCCAAATCCTGTTTACACACACAACTCTTTATCCCCATAACACATATGGCAGCAGTTGGGGCTGCCCCTCAGCATCGGATGAGAGAAAGGGTTAAATGGAGACCTGGGACTTGCTCTGCTATGTGAGGCAAGAGGACTCTGCACAGGAGTCACAGCTTCAATTCCCACAAACCAGATTCCATCTGAGACATCAACTGCAGCCTGTGGACCCTTCCCTACCCCACCAAAAACCTCTGGTGGTTTTTCTCTTGGGGGTTTCCAGTTTTGCTTCCAGGAAGGGGACACCCTGCACAGCCAGAGCAATGTTGCATTTCTAGCCACTGGTTTCTGGCGGTGGCACCCGCTGGCTACAACACTCTGGGAAAGTTTTCTCCCATGTTAATCTCCCTTGCTCCTTCACAGGTTTCCAAGTGAAAATGCTGTTTCCACATCTGCAGAGTGAATCCCTACCCAGAAAGGGGATTTTTCTGTGAGATTAGATCAGTATTTGGGGAGGGGAGCTGTGAGAGAACAAACATTAAACCCCAGGGTTTAAGTGGTCCCCAAAATGCACACTTGGGAGGGGGTGTTTTTGCAAGCAGTGCAGCTTCATCCCCACCTCAGCACCACACACACACTGCTCTACTGCTCTGGGACAGGAAGGTGTGTCAATGCTGAGCTTAGCACGGGGTCCAGCCTAGGATGGGGTCACCCCTTCACCCCCAAAAGAAGAGAAGCCGCACGGGGGAGTGAATCCTGCACAGGAGCAGCTTCTCTTTCTCAAGCAGCAAATCTGAGCATCTGGGAGAGCCGTCAGGGCTGCCAGTGCCAGCCACAGCAGCAGGAAGGCAGCAGATCCTTCCCACACAGGCTTCCCCTGACCTCCCTTCTTTTTTTTACTCAGAAAACTGGCTGGAAGGATGGTTTGGCCACCAGCTTTGGATTTTTGGCCATCTGAGAGCCTAGCTGAGCATCCAGGGGAGGTGGCCCCACACACACCTACAGCTCGACCCTGCCGTGAACTTGATGCCGTTGGGAAGCAGCAGCTCCCAGCACGCAGGCTGGAGGCTGCAGTTGCCTGGACAGAAGCACACGCAGAGGGATCACTCGGCCCTGGGGCAACATCATACGTGCTGCCTCCCTGCTGCTGGAATCCAGTCACCTGGGATGTCAGAGGGGACACATCTGCCTGCCCTGCCCAGCCGCTCGCCCCCCTGCCTGGCCAAGGGGGCAAGTGCTGGGGGCAGAGGGGTTGCTGAGTGCTTCCTACCCCATGCTCTGCACCTCTGGGGTTTGGCGTGCAAAGAAATGGCTCCTCTTTTGCCTTCACATACTTCTCCCCTCCTGCCAAGCCCAGACCTTGCTTGTTGTTGTTGTAGGTATTTATGGGCCTGTTTATCTGATCTCGGGGGAGCCTTTCCTTATCTCGGAAGCAGCAAGGGAAGGGTTACACTGGACAGCTCTGTAGACAGTATGGAGCCAAATAAAATACCAATCTGACAAAAAAAGAAAAAAAAAGGGAAAAAAAAGAAAAAAATGAAAGAAACACCCAGCCCCTGCCATCATCACCCAAGAGTGTGAGGGTACCTGAAGGAAACCTGTAAGGTCAGGGGAGCATCCATCCCATGCTTCTGCACAGCTCCACTTCCCAGCTCCCAGGACTGGATCATGGAAGGGATCCAGCTCCACACGCATCTGACACAGCCTGCCTGGGCAGGGGCTCAGGGAGCAGCCCCCAGATGAGCCTGGTCCTGGCTGTGGGCTGGCACCCAGCTCAGCATGTGTCTGCCCCTCCAACAGCTGCTGGCTCCAGGTGCACAGCACAACCCTGGGCAAGAGATGCCCAGGCACCCAGCAGAGTGCATTTTGATGCCACTGAAAGAAGGAAAGAAAAAGGACCATACTAAGTTTCAGGCTGGTTATTCAGAGGTTGATGACAGCCAGGGCTGATCTGTGGCACAGTATCCCAGTACCCCACACTTTTCAGCCATGATGGTGCCTTTGCTATCTCCTTGGGGTGAGCATGGAAATGTCCTGGTCCCACATTTGGAATGAGAGGCACAGCCAGTCCCCAGCCCTAGCAGGGACTGGCTCAAGGTCACCTCGAAGGTCATGGCCAGGGCCAGAGTGGCTGCCTCCTGTCATGGGGCCTCTCTGGCTTGGACCCAGCTCGTGTCTGGTGACTGGGGGAGGCATGGAGCAAGGGGGCACTCCCTGGACAC